TGTGGGAGGCACTGGGTTCGGTTCTTAGCATCGCATATAAATAAATAAAATAAAAGTCCATTAACAACCAAAAACAGCAGGCCAGGTGTGGCTCTGCCTCCTCTGGCCAGCAGAAGGGACCCAGAGTTGAGCCACCAGAGCTTGTTCTTGAAGCCACTTTCCTGGAAGGCAGGTGTGATTCTGAAACCCACGGAGACTCGGGCAGGGGGCAGTGAGGTCCGGAGACCCGGCAGAGCTCTCTGCTCTCAGTGACACCTGTATCCTGTTCTCGGCCACACCAGGATCCCCAAAGGAGGACAAGGTCAAGAACACGCCTCCTCATTTCACAGATGGGAAATTGAGCCCGTGGAGGTCCACTGGTCAGCCCGGGGCCCCGCCTTGGTCTGTGATTGTTGAGGCCACAGCCGAGTCGGGATGACGCATGGCAAACAGCATGTGATAGAGATGGCCCTGGCTGGGGTGGGGAACCACCATCTCGTCTGAGCAGCAAAGATGACTTTAAAAAACATGGTGTTCAAACTAACGGGTGAAGCCCAGGCTCGGTGGTGCACGCCTGTGTCCCAGCCACTCGCAAGCGGGGACAGCAGAGCCCGTAAGTCCAGGTGATGGAGACCAGCCCAGGCAACGCGATGAGACCCTGCCTCAAATAAGAAAGTAACCTGAAGACAGCTGGATCCTTACTTATGAAGCAGTTTTGCAAGAGCCACAGTGGTCTGTCATCAGAGGAGACAAGGCTCTCACAGCGGGGCTCTGCCTCTTTGCCGCTTGTAACCTGTGTGGTCACCGAAGGCCCCATGCTCGGGTGCCCTGAGCTCAGCTCAAAGCTCCGCTGTGACCAGGTCCAGCCTATTAATAATGTTTGAACGAGGGGCTCTGTTTCTCTCTGGGTCCCCCGAATAACAGAGCTGGTCCTGCCGAGGGTGCAGGGGGATCGTCTCCTGGAGGCTTCCTCACACCCGTGTCGTGTGATGGCAGCGTGACCTTCAGGGGAGTACGCCAGGTGCCATTTCTCCTAAGCGTTAAAGGACCCCAGGTGTGAGGCCCTGGCCGTAGTGTCCAGGTTGTCTCTCGCAATGTGATAAACCAACCTCAACTCTGCTGCTTGAACAACAGTGGCCACGCGGTGGGTCCCGACTCTGTGGCTGGGCCTGGGCTTGGCAGGGAGGCCCGCTCCTCACACGGTTCCCTCCGGATGACTCCACTTCCAAGGGGGCTGGCACCCTCTTGTCGGCCACCTGCGCCCTCTGAGACCCGTGTGGGCTCCCTCAGCGTGGTGCTGGGGCCTGGGCCAGGGTCTTCAAACCCGAACACTGTCACTTTCGACACACTGATGGCCCAGCAGGTCCAGAGCCCAGACGCATGGGGAGGGGACATAGGTCTCCCTGCTTGGATGGAGGAGTGTCAAAGCCTTTGGAGACCACACGCTGGGCCTGGCACGGTGCTGACCGTCACCTATCACCGTGTTTCCACTGTGGGTGGTTCCACTGCTGTTCGTGGCGTTGGCCCTGGGAAGCGAAGTACCCTGGCAAGGTCCCCATTCTCCTGGCTGGAATCCAAACCAAGTCTCTCTGGCCCCAGAGCGTGGGCCCTTGGCCAGGAGGCGGACCCTTGCACTCCGGGACCCATGGGGTCTCCAGGTGGCGGGGCTGGGACTCCAGTCCCCAGTTGTCTGATTCAAGGTACCGGAGGGGCTGGGGCGGGGGCGGGGGCTCAGCGGTAGAGCGGTCGCCTAGCACATGCAAGGTGCTGGGCTTGATCCTCAGCACCTCACAAAAATGAATAAATAAAATAAAATCAAGGTATTGTGTCCAATGACAACTAAAAAATACATTTTTAAGAGTATTGGAGGCACCTTCTAGATTTTAGAAAGGAAACTGAGCTCTGGAGGCCTTGCCTGGCCTCCCCTGAGAAGACGGGGTGGCCAGGATCTGGCACCTTCTAGGGCAGGATGGGGGCCCCCGGGGCTGCACAGAGCCCAGCCAGGAAGTTGCAGAGCTGTGGGCAGATTATGCAAGAACAGGCAGTCAGCGGGGACTTTGTTTTTCACGGTGATCACACTTCATTCAGGAAATACCCACGGCCTTGGTGTGTGTGGAGGGAGGGCCCCTCACCCGGGTGGAAGACCCTCTTGTGACAGTTGGGCACTCATGAGGTGAACCAGCATCCCCTGGGCCAGCTCACTCACCAAATTTTCCTGGGAGCCACTCTGCCCTCTGCACCAGACTCTGATAAGAGAGATGAAGGGGTTCTAGCCCTGGCATCCAGAAAGTCATGCCTCAGGGGAGACAATAGGAACGATTTCTTAGGCTATAAACCTCACAGAGCATTCAGAAGTGGCTCGCGTTATCATACACTACAAGTGAGAAAACTGAGGCACAGAGTAGTTAAGTCACTTGTCTGAGGTCACACAGCTGCTAAGTGGTACAGCCAGGATTCAAACCCAGGCCACCTGGTTGACGTTGTCAGCTCCCGAGTGCTCAGCCACGCCCTTCCACTGCGGCTCAAGCTGGGGTCACACTGTGCTGTGGACCCATCTCCACATAGAGCTTCATTTCATCCTCCCTATAATTTACCACTATTCTAAAGTTGGCTTAAGAAAGCTAATTAACGTGGTGAAATTCAAGTTTACCTTGCTGGAATTTGAATTCCAGGCCCTGTAGAATACTGTGTAGGAGTCTGTGGGCCAGGAAATGCACAGGTTACAGAACGTACCTCCTGCCTTCCATTCCACTTTCCCTTCCAAAGCTTAGCTCCGGCCATTCCCTCCTACGACCTTCAATGTCTCCCCAGTGCCGCAATCTCATCCAGTCCTCCGGGAAGATCTGCCAAACGTCAGGAACCGGCTGGGTGCTGTGGAGCACAGGGCAGTGCAGTTCTCCAGTGTCACACCCGACTGAGGCCTGTGCTCCTGGAGCCCCACTGAAGACACCCAGCCCAGACGCTGGGCCTCCACTGCCTCCTCTGTGGAATGGGTTCCATAAGCAAAGTGCCCCCAAAGGGATGTGGTAAGGACGAAGCTCATACATTAATTTATTGAATAAATATGTTTCAACCCCAAACTGTATGCCCTGATGGGGGCTGGGGACACAGCCCTGCCTTCATGGAGAGTGACAGGGAAGAATGTTTGGGATCACGTTAGCTTCTTGCGTGCTGATCCTCGGGGTTAACAGTTCCTGGGATCCTCATTGGCTGGTGGTAACTGCTATAAGGACCAAGAATTCAGCAGCACACAGGGCCCCTCGTGGGGGTCAGGGTGCACGGTGTTTGGGGTGAGGGGTCTGGAAGAGGGAGCAATGCAGGGCGGGAGTGAGCCGCTGGGGCAGTGTAAGTCTGGGGTGGCTGCTGCCTCTACCCCACCCCCCACATTTGCATCTCCAGGTTTCTAAAGAAGAAAGGGCCCAGACGATTTTGTGGGTGGAAACTGTTCTGCAGGTCTGGGAAGGGAGGCTGGAGGGCTGGCCGGCAGTCGGGGGGAAGTAGCAATAGTGGGGAGCTCGGGGGGAACTGGCACCCACGGGGGTTTCCTTCCAGGGTGAAGGGGAAGAGCAAGGCTGGACACTTCAGGAACCCAGTGAGGAAACCTCCTGCGCCCAGGGGACCTAGGGTCCACTCTGGGGTGGCAGAATACATAGCTGCCACCAAGTTCTGAGTCTGTGTTCGTGGAGCACCCACTAGGTGCCAGGAGCTATAGATTCCCAGCCTCCCTGAAGAGTAGAGGCTGCTGATCCCATTCTACAGTTGAGGAAAGGGAGGATCCGGGAGATGAAGTGATTTGTCCAAGGTCAAAGTTTCATGCCAGTAAATGGCCAGAGCTAGGACTCACCCCCAGGTCTAGGCGATGGCCAAATTGTTAGCCAACTGCCTAAAACGGTCTCCCGAGGTTTCTTGTGTGCTGATCCCCGGGGCTTAACAGTTCCTGGGTCTTTTTTTTTTCTAGTTGTCAATGGACTTTGTTTATTTATTCATATGTGGTGCTGAGCATCGAACCCAGTGCCTCACGCATGCCAGGCGAGCGCTCTACCACTGAGCCACAACCCCAGCCCCAAGAGCAGGGTCTTGATGGACTGAGGGCAAAGGGACAGCAGCTACTCTGCCTGGCGTATGCAGTAAGTGCTCAGTAGGTACATGCTGGGTCTGCAGGACCGTCCTGGGGAGTGGGGACATCCAGCTTGCTGGGGGAGGAAGTATCATGAAGACAGAGTTCACCCTGTGCCACTAGAGGTGGCCAAGTCACTGCCACCTGCTTCAAGAAGCCTCAGGGCTCCTCAGCCAGGGCTGCTTTGTCCCTCCTCTGGGTTGTTGGCCTCCTGTCCCCAGCTCCTGCAGGGAGGGTGTCCATGCTGAGTCACCACGTCCAGTCCTGCCCAGCTCTGGCTCATAGTCCTAAACATCTGACTAAGCAAAGATTGGGAAATGGGACTGGGGAAAATCACTTTTTTCTTCCCCTTTTTGAATAAGGGACGGGGAAAGTTGCTGGGGAGAGGAGTCCGTGATGTCAGCACTACATGCTTCTTGCTGGTGGTTGGAGGCCGGGTCTCACGGCTGTGCTTCCTCCAGAGAAGGCTGGGTTCTCTGTCAGGGAACAGGACGGGCCACCCCGTGTCTGCCCCTGTGCCCCATCACTCCCTCTCCCTCTCTGCTCTCTAACTGCTCTTGCTCCGAACTGAGGCTTCACTAATGAGGAAAAAAATTGATGAGGACACCGAGGCCTGGGAAGGAGAGAGACTAACGAGATCACAGAGAGAATCGGCAGCCATAGAGCCACACGGGCCGTAATTCAGCCCCTCCCTGAGGGGCTGCCTGGGGAAAGCCTTGTGTCCAGGGCCCTAGAAGAGCCCCAGGTTCTCCATCTGTGAAGCGGAGCCTCTGCCACGAATGGCCCAATCTAACAATCTAACAAGCGGCCACTGCCTGGCAAACCCCGCAGGAAACAGACTTCAGATGACAACGAGGCTTGTAGGTGTGCCCACTCTCTGGCTGCGTGGACTGAGATGAGCAGCTTCAAATAATCTATAAAACAGTAGCATCAGGCCCTGCCGTTCAGCACTCCTGGGGTTACCGCAGGTATCAGTAGATCCCAGATGTAGAAGAAGAGATTCGGGAGGGTGTGCAGGCTCCTTTCACCCCTGCCCCACCACGAAAAGATGTGGGCGAAGTGCAGAACGAATGAAGGGTGCACTACGTTCATGGATGGGATAAACTGATGCCGCGGCGATGTTCACTCTCCCCCAAATCCACCCATCGCTTTAGTGAAGCGACTTAAATCCCAGTTGGAGTTTCAGGAACTTGACAAATGGATTTTTAAATATACATATGTATATATATTACATATACACACACACACACACATATATATAGAACATTTTAAATACATATACATATTTTATATATACATATATACAGAGAGATAATAAATATACATAGGCTATATATATGTATGGCTGGGGCTGGGGCTCAGTGGTAGAGCAGTTGCCAAGAACGTATGAGATGCTGGGTTCGATTCTCAGCACCACGTCTAAGTAAATAAATAAAATAAATGTCCATCAAAAATACATAAATTTAAAAAATACATAAAATACATAAATTTAAAAAAATATATAATAATATATAATAATACAGAACGACTCCAAAACTAAGTATGGCTTGAAAAAGAATAGGAAACAAACATTCTAAACATTCTATGAAGCTCTACTAGTGAAAACCAAGTAGAAGGGACCCAGGAATGAAAAGGCCAAAGGAGGAAAGTAGACCATTTGGAGATAAACCAGACAAACCCGTGAACTTACGGGAAACAGTGGAAAGCTGGGCAGACTGGTCTATGGTGAGAGAACGACGGTTAGGTCTCTGGGCCTTACGTTCCTCCAGCCCAGATGTGTGAAGGACCTAGATGTGAAGAGAAAACACAGAAAAATATATTTATGACCTGCAGGAAGAGAAGGACCATTTAACTATAATCCAAATGGCAAGACATGGATGGACTCGGTCACATTGAAATCAAGGATTTTTTTTTTTTTAAACGCCAAAGGAACTTGAGGAACTTGACAAATGGATTTTTGTTGGTAAACAAGGAGACCAAACAGGTGACAGATGAATTATTTGCCATGTCTAAAAATGACAAGGGATTAATATCTAGAATATACAAGAAATTATTGCAAATCTACAAGAAGACAGGAAATAATAAAAATGTGATCAAAGGATGTGAACAGGCAGTTCACAGAAGGGGAACCCCCAGTGACTAACCAGTAAAGGAGAGGCGACCAGACCCACGGATATTCAGAGAAATGCAAATGCCATCCGTGGGCCCCGTGTCATACCCGTCAACAGGCCCAAATCAGAGCACTGACTAATGGCGGCTTGGGGGGAGTGGGAGGAGATGGGAACTCTGGAGCCAAGCCCATGGCGGTATGGTCATCTAGAGGACTTGTGGGCAGTGGCAGGAAAACAGTCAGTACCCCGTGGCCCAGCGGTCCCCTTCTGCAGATCTCAAACCCCCGAACAGCACCGTGTGGTCTACAAGAACCCGGCCCCGCAGGGATTTCTGTGGGGACGGGAGCAATGGGAGAAGAACTGGGGGGTGGGGGGTAAAGCAAGAGAGGCCCCTTGGAGCTGCAGTGGAGCTCGGTGGCCCTTTCTGTACCTGGGGTCTAAAAATTGAGAGCGAGAGAGAATTTATGCAAAATAAAGATTCTGCTCAGACCAGCCACAAAAAAGGCGAACTACCTGGGAATCATTACAGGAAGGATGCGTTTGGGTGATACGAGAGTCATGGTCTTGCCTGGACCCGAAACACCATTTATAAGGAGATGGTGGGCCCAGAGAGGACCAGGGCCTGAGGCGGGGTGGGGGGGGCGGCGGGGAAGCTGAGCCCAGAGGAGATAATACCTAAATGGGAAGCCAGCTGCCGCTCTTCTCCGAGTCTGGAGACTTGTGGTCCGGGAAGGGACCAGCTGCTCCTTAGGTCCCCCTGGGCTGGAATGAGACGCAGTGAGGGGGGGTAGAGTTGGACAGAATGGAGGACAAGGGAGTGGGAGTGGGGTTAGAGGGTCCCCAGAGAGACCCAGGGTCCCCCTCGCTCATCCATCAAATAAGAGGAATCCTGCAGGGCCTTGGGGAGGCGAGAGCGGGAAGCACTTGGAAGACACCGAGGCTGTAGAAGGAAACTCCTGTGGGTTCCCAGCGGCTGCAGACGTGGCACGTGGGAGTCTCACGAGCCGCTGGCCCGCTCCATCGTGGGTACTGCTCCTAGGGAGAGGGATTTGGCAGGACCCAGCAAAAAGGAAAATGTGCAGCCCCGCCCCCTGCCTGCCCGGCAGTTCTACTTTCTAGGTTCACGACCTAGAGAAACTCTTAGCCCCGTGCCTGGGAAGGCAGGTGTCAGCATGTGCATGGCCGCGCAGGGGACAGAGTAGAGGTTCAACACCAACAGCCGCGACAGGGAAGCAGACGGGGCAAGGAGTGGATGGGGTGGGGGTGGGGGTCAGATCGGAACCCAGAACCCATCAACTTGGAATGTTCTCAGAAACATTGGTGGTGGAGACGTCGACCCTGACTGCGGGAAGCAGTCATCTCTCACTGTCCACAGGGATGGGTTCCAGGACCTCTTCCTTCAAATACAAAAACCCAGGGACGCTCAAGTCCCCGCTCCACAGTGTTTGCATATAACCGCAAACGTTCTCCTGGCTACTCTCCACCATCTCCAGATCCTTCTAATACCTGAGTGCCCCGGGAGAGTTGTCAGGCTGCTCAGGGAATAAACACAGAAAGAAGTCTGGGCGTGCTCAGTACACGTGCAACATTTTATTGTGTTTTAGATTATTTTCAATGCTCGGTTGCATGAATCTGTAAATTCAAAACCCGCAGATACAGAGGGCCGGCTGTAATACTCGACACTGTTCATTTACGGAGGCGGAAAATGGACTAGAGAGAAGTACGGTAAACTCAGAGTAATTGTCGTGCTTGGAGAACAGGCACCGTAGTGAGAACTGGGCTCTAAAGTCAAGGGCTTCCTGTTTTTTCTTTTCAGGTCCTGGGGATTGAACCCAGGGGTGCTTTCCCACTGGGCCACATCCCCAGTCTTTTTTTAAATTTTATTTGCTAAGCTGCTTGGGGCCTTGCTAAATTGCTGGGACTGGCCTCAAACTTGTGACCCTCCTGCCTCAGCCTCCAGAGTCCCTGGCATTACAGGCATGTGCCATCATGTCTGGCAAGAGCTTCCATTTCAATTATAAAATAAAAGCATTTGTGGCAAAAAAATAATTCAACACGTGTTTACCAAGAGCCCTCCCCCCCCCTTTTTTTCCATAGCTAATTTTCTCTGTGATGCTTTCTAGGTGCCAGGGACCCCCCAGGGACCCAGCAGAGAGCACATCAGACAAGATTCCAGCTGCGATGTGCGAGGCACATGATAAATAGACAGGGAATCTCACCAAGGGCTACAAAGAAGTCAGGCAGCTACTTCAGTGAGGGTTCAGGGAAGCCGCTCTGAAGAGGTGACATCTGGGCAGAGATGGAGGGAAGTCAGGATGTGAGGGAGTCACCAAGGCTTCTGGAGGAAGCTTGCTCCAGATGGAGGGAACTGTCACAGCAAAGACCCACGGAGGGAGCTGCTTCCTGTGTTCCAGGAACAGCCAGGAGGCCCATGGGGGCACGTTGATGTGACACGAGGTCACAGGGGAACAGGGACAGCCCGGTAGTTAACACCTGTCAATCGTGGGTAGCAGGATATGGGGCTTCCTTATATCTTGCTTTGTACTTTTTTTAATTTCAAAAAAGATTCAAACAAGATTAAGGTAGGATGGAGACAGATGGGCGTCAAATGACAGCCACGTGGTTCTTAGCAGGTTGAAAAAGAAGACTTTCATCAGGAAAAGGCCCTGCCTGGTGACAAGGGCCAACAGTGAAGCCCGCTCTTGGGCAGTGGCTTGGACAGGACAGGCACCTTCCCAGGTGCTGTGAAAGGAAGTGGATTGGCATGAAGCCCAGAGGGATGGAGCGCACCCCACCTCCCCACAGAGGGGTGCTCAGTCCTAGTCCAGAGCTGGTGAAGGCCAGGAGACTCTGCTGTGGCTGCCCTGTCCCCACCCAGACACACCTGGCTCCATGATCCTTTTTTTTACAAAGTCTGGCCTCTGAGTCCTTCTCAATCAGAGCCCCAGACAGCCACTACCAAGGGCACCAGGCATTCAGAATGAAACCAGCCACCTCCCCCCACCCCACTCAGCCCTCTCATGTTAAGATAAGATGCTGGCTGCGCATGGTGGCACATACCTGAATCCTAGGGACTCTGGAGCCTGGGGCAGGAGGGTTGCAAGTTCGAGGCCACTTGGGCCTCTTAGCGAGATCCTATCTGAAAATAAAAAGAATAAAAAGGGCTGAGGGTGTAGCTCAGGGGAAGAGGGACCTGAGATGAGGAGAGGAGGCACTAGCCCACGTTCCCACAGGGACGGGGCGAGAATAGAAATTCCCCTGAATCTTAGCTGGCCCTGCTTGTAGGGCTTAGAGACCCAAAGATTTGTTGTTGTTGTTTCCAGAAGGTTTAGGACTGATTTTGGGGAGAGGTGACCCAGCATGGGGAGGTTTGGGAGGACACAGGGAGGGGAAGCCCTGCAGGAGAAGACTGGCTCCTTCCCTAAATCGTCTTTGAGAGCTGGGGTGGGGAAACGGAGAGCTGCACCCCCAGACCCTCTCTCTCTCTGGAAGGAGATGGGGACAGGAGCTGGTGAGCGTTTGTGGATCCAGTGTCCCCAGCCTGATGTGTCTGCTTCAGCCCAAGGTGTGCGGGCGGGCGGGCAGGTAGAGCAGCTTGCAGGGCTGTGGTAACACCAAATGCTGCTTCCTGTTTGAGATTTTAGGACATGAGTCATCAAGGGGTTGGCCCAGTACATTCAGTGCTGAGATAAGCAGGACAGTGGGACAAGAAAAGGTTGCTCGTCCTGACTGGGGTCCAGGCTGGGTGGGGGTCCTGCTGCCCACCAGCAGCCTTGTAACATGGGGTGGCCCTGGGTACCTGGAGGCCAGGTCTGAAGGACCTGGTTCTGGAGCTGCTTCTGAAAAATCACTCGGACAAGAACATGGCATAGACACCTCCCCCACGGCGGCGGCCGCCCTTCCCTGTACCACCACAGTGGTCCTCCGCCACAGCACCTGCTACATCTAACCCTCTGTAGAGTTTCCCAAAAGGTGTCCCTTCGCCACCTGGGGGCTCTTTGCAAAGCCAAATGATCATCAGGCATGGGAAGGGGCCCAGGAATCTGCATGTCTAACAGGGCTTCCAGATGCTGGCTGAAGCTAAACAGCCAATTCCTCCCAAAGGTCTACCAGACTGCCTGGCATATAGTAAGTGTTCAGTTAACAGCCTGACCTGTCCCACACGTGTGGCCTGATTCAGCAGAGACTTTTCCCGCCCGTAGGGTCATAGTCATCGCTTGCTGGAGTGTGACATATGAGTGTGTGTGTGGTGGCGGAAGCTTTCTGACAACCAGGGGCTGCCCTGGGAAGTAAGGGAAGTCTTTAGAGCCCCAGACTAAGTTTCAAATACTATGCATGCAGCCCTTGGGTTGGCAACTAGAAGGCCATCATCCTGTCTGTGTTAGAAATCTCCTGGTTACCCACTGCAAGGAACAAGTGACACTTTTTGCTCTGTGGAGATGGAGGGTCTAAGAGACGCACAGCAGGGGGGTCTAGGTGGTCCTGTCTACTCTGATATGGGTATGACCGGGATGGCTGGATCCCTGAGCTGCGCCTGGTAAGTACTCTGCATCTGCTCACTCGGGTCTCATCCTCCAACGCCTTCTGCATACACGTGGCTCCGGATCAGTCTTCATTGACTTCCATTTCATTGAGCTCCTCCTTTTGTGTATCTCCTGGTCACCAGGGAAACAGATGGGACCATGACCATGTCTCTCTGCTCTCGAGGGCTAAATAGCCCTGCAGTGTGACAGGCAGCCTAGCCTAGCAGAACTCTGACTCTGCAGCAGCCAAAACAGGGTTGGCTTTGCTGTACCCCTTCTGAGCTGTATAAGGTTCTGTGAAGCTTGCCATCTCCAGGGCAAGACACGGTGTATCGCCAGACATAGGCTGGTGACCCAGAGGAGACTTCCGATAACTGCTAGTATCACAATTACTAAGACAGGACTGAGACATGCAAGCAACTAATAACTAGTAAGAGCATTCTGCTAGCGGTCTGTACAGATGGCCATGCAGTCCTGCCCGGCTGAGCAGGGTGTGGTCAAGGGCAGCTTCACAGAGCAGAGAGAGTGGGGCAAACAGGGAGGGAAAGACATCCTGAGCAGGGGACCTGTGTGGGTAGAGGCAAGGGGATGGGAGCTCAGTTACTCTGGAAGTCACAGGTGTGTGCATGGGCTTGGCTGGTTGTAGTGCCCATCAGCTTGGCAGTAGCTTGCTCCAGGACACGAACCCCTCAAACGTCTCACTGAGGAAGCTGAATTCAATTGTGAAGGCTGTGGGGAGCCATGGCCAGGTCAAATGTCTCAATCTGGACATCATCGATGAGTCTCTGTTATGGTGTTGCCTGTGCATTGTGGGAGGCTCCGGAAAGCCCCGGCCTCTACCCACTGGATGTTCACAGTGCCTCTCCCTGTCCCCTACAGTGTGTCCCAGATGTTGCTACATGTGCCTGGGGTGGGAGTGGAGGGCAAAGTCACCCCCTGGTTGAGAGCTACTGCACTAGGAAGTGGCAGGGGCAAGGGTGGCATGCCTCTGAAGGCTGGAGGACAGATTGCAGAAGTGGAGCCGGGGGCCCAGAGGTTCCTGGAGCATCACTAGTGAGAACCGGCCAGGCCAGGGCCAAGGCTGGGCTGGGGGCAGAGGTGGGCCCTGTGATCCGGGATGTTAAAGGGCTGTCCTTGATATCGCTGAGTTTCCCAGATTCCCCAATGGCAGATACGATATGGCGGGTGTCAAGATCAATCCCTCATCCAGAGGAAGAAGTCCTGGGCCACCTGTGCAGGTCACACCAAGAGGAACAGGTCTCTCCAGAATCGGTTCTGCTCTATCTCCAGCCTAAACCAAGCCATGGGGGAGAAGCCAGGAGACAGGATTGAGGGAAGGAGTCGCTATTGTGCTGAGCGCCCCCTGCTGCCCTTTGGGGGAGAGGGAGACACTCCCCTCATCTTGGACCAACCAGGAGGGGCTGTGAGGGTCCAACCCGGGAGCTTTATATCTCAAGAGACCATAACACCCGTCGGGGAGTCTTGTCTGTTTTGCCCAATGCTGAGTCCCCTTCACCTCAGGGCAGGCATACAGTTGGTGCTCCATAAAAGAGCCTGTGGTTAGGCTGTGAGGCATCATTGCTGGAGTAGCAGCACGGGGCAGGGATATGAGCTGTGTGGCAACTGTGCACCCCAGGGAGGAAGCCAACCTGGGGCAGTCTCTCCCCCAAAGTGCTTCCTGTGGGGATGTCACCTCAGCAGAAGCCTGGAGGACCAGGGTGGGGGCAGAATCAGCAGCAAAATCTCCAAGTGCCCCCAGAGAGAAGGAGCCAGAAGCTGCCTCCCAGAGCCTCCCGTGCCAAATACGTGACAACTTTGGTTGTCATGGAACACTGTCCCCTCTTCTCCCTCAATTTGTGCCCCCTGGGCCTGACCTGTACTTGGCAGAGGTAAATGAGACATCACCACATCCTCAAACCTGGGTGGCCCCACCTGGGAGGAGAGATTTGGAACATGAACAGCCCCCAGAACGGGGACCGCTATGGCTTGACGATGTTGCAACTCACGTTGGAATTCAATCCCCATTATGGGGCGTTAAGAGGGCGGAGCCTCTGAGGAAGGCACTTTCAGGACTGGTGGCTCTGTAAGGAGGGAGAGTGACACATACATACACACACTCACACACACACTCACAGTACCCTTGCTCACTCCTTGTCTCTTGGCTTGTGACGCCCTGTGCCTCTTTTCTTGCGCAGCCAGCAAGGAAGCCCTTACCAGGTGCAGCCCTTCTACCTGGGACCAGAAATGTCTTCTCCTTATAGTGTGACACTGGGTTGTCACAACAGAACACAGACCAAGACAGGAACTCATGGCAGGAGGCTCCCACCTGTGGTTTCTGATAGTGCCACTTGCCAGCTGGAGGGACCCACTGGGTGGGAGATGTGTGGGACATCCAGGGACAACTACTATCCCCTGCTTCCTCCAGGGGCATCCCACTCAGAGAGGACTGAGACATGCAAGCAACTAATAACTAGCCTTCCACTGTCTCCTCCAAACTGTTCCCACATGAGCTGTAAGGGCCCGGGCAACTCCTGATGCATGTCCTGGTGGCTGTCCCTCTCTGCACAGTTACGGCAGCTGCGCCCTCAGCCTGGCCCGTGTTGCAGAAACGTGGGAACCAGGTGATTCCCCAGACTCCTGACCAGGAGTTGGGATTTTCCACCCTCCACGGGTCACTTCCTGGTTTCTCTCTCAGCACCTAGAAGTACCATCCATGTGGTGTCCCTGATGGGGGTTGGTGGCCTGACACAGGCCTCTGTACCTCCTCAGCAGCCTGTGGAAGCATGCAGAACAGACCACTGCCATCTCCCCTCCCCACCCCTCCAAAACACCCCTGCGCTGGGCTGGAAGAAGGCTTTCTGGCCACACAGGACTGGCTGTGGCATTAAGGGCTGACACTCTAAGTGAGGGGACAGGGATGGCAGCTAGAGTGGGCCGTCAGAGATGAAGGAAATCCCAGGAGAGCAGCCCTGCTGGACTTGGCATGAGCTAGCTCAGGTGGCCCCCGTGGCTTCTTGGAGGGCTTCCTCCACCAGCTTCTGGTTACCTGCCAGCTGAGAAGACTCAGGAAGGACAGGGCAGCCTCTGGCTCATTCCAAAGGGTTCTGTGAATGTTTAAGGAGGAACAAAAGAAAAGCAGTAAGAACAGCAAAAGCACAGGGAGAGCCCACTCGGGCCTCTAATTCCCAGCGCTTGCGCCTAGGAGGCAGGAGCATCAGACTGAGGCAAAGGTTCCAGACCAGCCACGCAGCTTAGCCGGACCGGCTCAAAATTAAAAATAAAAAGGCTGGAGATACAGCTCAGTGGTAAAGTGCCCCTGGGTTTAGTCCCCAGTAGGGGGTCAGGGGAGGGCCAGCTAGTGCTTATACAGTGCTCCTTACATGACAGAGACATTTATTTATAAGCACACATAACACCTACTCTACTGTGTATATCATGTATCTTCCCAAAGGTCCTGTGAGGTGCAGAGATTCATAGGCAGGTGATCTGGCTCCAGAGTCTAAACGAGCGAATGATCTAGAAGCCCTGGGTCCCCTACAACAGGTGTCAGCTTTGGGGCATGTTTTTCCGAGGTGGTCCTACCCTTCTGGAGGGGTGGCTGCTGGGAACCGAGGCGGGTCGGTGGAGGAGGGCAGGAGAAGAGGCCCAGCCGTCCCCAGTGCGGGTCCCTTGCCCTCCGCTGGAAGGGTGGCTCGCAGCGGTGGGGGAGAGCCGGGCGGCGGGCGGCTTAGGGGCGTGGGGCGTGTCCTCGGTGGCCCCGCCCCTGCCCTGGGGCTCGCGGCCCCGCGGGCTTTCGCTTTCAGTAGCAGCCGCCGGAGGGGAGCGCGGCGCCAGCAGAGGTTCTGGGGACCTGGGCGCGAGGGCGCAGCCCGCCGGACCCGCCGCCGCACATGGCGCCTGCCGCCCTCTGGGCCGCGCTGGCCGTCGGACTGCAGCTCTGGGCGGCGGGGCACGCCGTGCCCGCCCAGGTGGGTGACTCGCGCGGCCGCGGGGGACAGAGCCCACCGTGCCCATCCTGGTGCCGAGGGGCTGGGAGGACAGGGTCTCCGACCTGCTCCCTGGGACGC